CTGATCTTTCCCATATAATTTACAAAATGTAGCAACAAAATATGTTAGCAACTTTTTAACATAATCAAAATAATTTGCACAAAGCGATGGACTTAAAAGAATACGTACAGCAACAGATAAATCCAAAAAGTTTATATAAACATCATTTGGCAATATACCTTTCAAAACTACTGGACCAGTATATAATAAAAACTGGCGTAATTCAGTAGCTTTCCAGCGTTTAAATTCCAATATTGAGCGAGGTTTGCGTGAAAATTCTTTTGGTACATGCTGTTTAAATAAAACAAGTTTTTCAGATAATGTAGTTAACGATGTTTTGGATAAACATTGTTTCTTTTTACTTCCATGCACCCATTGATTAATCATTCTTTTAACTACTCCTAAGCATACCAAATGCATATAATCGAGTGGAAAAGATGAAACCATTCCAAATGATAATTCTAAAAATGGAGAGATAGTGTTATCAATGTGATGCTTCTTATCTGCTTGCATGCGAAAACCTTCATCAGTTCTAAGTGGAGCTAATAGGTTAGGAAGAAGAATTTTTCCATACCATTCACCTTTTTGAATACATCGCTCACAGCTATGATATGCAGTATGAGATTTAATACACTTTAAAAATGCTCTTGCAGGGGCATCACAAATTACTGCATCTAGTTTGATGATATATTTACGACCATTATTGTCTTCAAATGGCTACTTTTCTAGACATTTCAATTCTGCAATAAAGTCTTTCAAATAAGCAGTTAGTAGATTAGGCTTCTACTGCAAAATATGGCAATTGGGAAAACATTATCTGAAATTTCCTTAAAACTGCCAAGAATAGGCCAAATACATGAACTAGAACTTTTAAAAATTGGTATGCCATCAATGTTAACATGCAACTTAAGTTCCTTTAATTCTGGATTTGGAGAAACCATTGTTAAAAACTTAGATAACCAATATTTAATACCGAAATAAAAGTACTCTCCTCCTGCAACATTTTTTATATCAATTTTTCTTTGAGTATGATGAAGAGTCCTAGCATCTTTTGGTACACTTGGAACAGTTGGTTTCAAAATCTGCAGTAAATGTGTAGTTGCATTTTGAGAAATATTAAAAGAAATTGCCCAATTTGCTAAATTTTCATTGAAACTAGTTAAATTGGGGTCATTACTTTCAGAAAAAATAGTTAAACCATTATCACTGTTATCATCATCAGCTATACCTGACATACAAGCATTTTTGTCTGAATAACAATTATTTACTGTGCTTATTGCATTTACATGGAACTGAGTCTTTACGTCGGATGGATGATTCATGCTTTTATTAAATGTTGCTAATTCATGAATAAAATTATTTTGATGACTAGTAAAATTTGCACTTGTAATAGTTGCATGTGTGTTACTAATACTATCTGATAAAGTGCAGCTATATTGGTGATCATTTGATCTTAAGTCATTTTGATTTTCAAATTCATGTTGAACTTGTGATAGCAGTTGAGATACGGCAGTGTTTATTTTTCTACGCTTAGTGTGATAATTATACGAATAAGGCATCAAACTATCCATTATATGATTTTGTATTCTATATTTATACTTTATTTTGAAGAATTTAAAAAATGTATTTAATAAATAAATGTATTTAAACAGACTGTGATATTTTTATTAAAACACCAATAATTTTGATTATTACTTGCTACTATTTACAAATAATTCACAATATAAACAGTTTAACCCTTTTTTTTTAATTTAATAAAACTTATTAAGTTATCATAGTATATTATATTATATACAACTAATTAGCAGTTAAATTATTTAAAAAAAAAGTTAGGTTACTTATAATATCAGTTATAGTATTTATAATATAAGTAATATTATTAACTATATTATATAACTAATAATATTACTCAAAGTATAACTTTTTTCTTTTACTTTTTTTATATACGTTATAATTTATAGAAAATGTGATTATATTCGTATAACTTATATGATTACATGATATCATCATATAATGTTTGAATGTTTCAAACATTAGGTTTTTGCTTTTTATATTTAGGATCAATTAACAGGCATGTTATGAATCATAACATATACAACTAAATATAGTCTATACGAGGGAAATAATTTAATCATAAGTTAGATTCTATATTATAGAATCATAACATTTATATTATAGAATCATAACATTCTATATTATAGATATATCATCTATATTACAGATGATATATTATTATAGATATCTTTTTTTATATTATAGATATCTATTATTATAGATATCTATTTTATAGACATCTATATTATAGATGATATATTATTATAGATATATCATCTATATTATAGAATCATATCATTCTATATTATAGAACCATAATATGTCATAAGTTATGATAACTTATGTCATATATGACATTTGCCATGTACTGTCATATATGTGATACATGAAATAATTTATTTATAACTTAAGATTAAGTTATGCAAAACTTAATCATAAGTTATGATTAAATTATTTCACTGCATATTCTAAAAAAATAATATAACATCCTGTGATAAGAAATTAAAATGTTTCATCCAGTTTGGTTACAATTTAGAACATCAGAAAACTTTTATAAACGATGAAAACATCAGAGAAATTTTTACATCAAACAATTTTTTTTAAACGATGCCTACTGCTCGTGGTAAGCAAAAAAAACGCTACCATTGTAACATTTCTCACTAAATCCCAGTCGTAAACCATTCAGGAAAGGCATACGCCAATCCCAGCATAATCCTATGCCAATCCCAGAAATCTTAGATTTTATATTTATATATTTACGGCGATATTTTTACACCATATGGGACCCATCTATTACCCAGATCAAATCCCAGCCATAACCCAGTCCCAGTAACCCAGCTATATCCCAGCTGGGACCCAGCTGTCATGGTTAACTGGGAACTTTTTAAGTGAGAAAAATAGATATCAAGCCTTACCAAGTTCTTTCTCTACAGCAGTTTTGTTTTGGCTTGTGTTTGGAGTTAAAAGTTTTTTAAGTTATATAGTTATAATATATAAATAATATCAGTGAAGAACCCAGAGTTTATTTGGGGATACCGTTTTTTTTCCAGCAATGTTGAGGGAGGGGGAGGGGGAATTATGTTTTTGATTTTCCCCTCACCCTCACTCTCCCTTAGTTAAACGGATGCCACAACAATAATTTTAATTTTCATTTTCCTAATAATCATTTATGTTTATCTTGTTCGGTTTTATCCTATAACAAGGTGTTGATTTAAAGGTATTTTTTGAATACATGAATTTACTGGTGGACGATGTTACTTTAGTTAAAAGAAAACTATTTTACTTAAGATTTTAATCAACGCTTTTGTTGCATATACCACGCTATCAGTAAATAATTATTGAAAATTTTTTGAAGTATTTTAAACAGTTATTAACTATATTTTAGTGAATTTAATTTAAAATAATAATTAAAAATATTTTAACCAATATTTATGTTACATAGTATATTTACATATATTATATAGCGTAATATTTGTAAAATTAACAAAATAGTTTTACCTCTTGTATTTGAATTAAAAACATAAACAAATTTGATAAGCGTTTAATAAACTAATTCAATAAGCATTTAACAAACGTATTTAATAATCTATTCGAATAAAAACATAAGCATTTAATAAACTTATTTTCTATTATTTTAAAAGTAAAATTTTGGTTTAAATATTAGTAAATCTGTTCATTTAACTTTTACTAAAGGTTATAAATTTTAAAGTGATTTTAAGGCGCATTTTAAAATTAAGATAATTAAAGAGATAACTACAGTAAACATAATTTAAAAAGTATTCTATTATTTTGATTAAAAACTATATTATATTTTTAAAAACATTATTTTTAAAAAATATATTATTCAGAATAATTTAAAAAATTACATTTGAATAAATAAAAATTACATTTACTATGGGTTATTTTAAACAGATCTAAATAAAACTTTTATTAAGTTATTGAAACCTTTTTATTTTTATTTTAAAAAGAATAATAAAGAAAAAAAAACTTGAAAAAGTTTATACTTCGTTTTTTTCATTTTCCTCACGTAAACTAAAATAGCAAGCTAAAGATCTAAAGTTCATTGATTTAAAAATTAAACTTGTGCGATAGTTCAAGGACTGATATTTTATAGTTTTGTTCATTTATTCTCAAAAGCAGTTTAATTGCCAAAAACAAAAATTAACCTTATGCTGAATGGATATTTAAAAGCGTTTAACTTTTAAAAAAGCAAATTTTTTATAAATTCCATTGTTATAAAATTTTGCAGCGTGGTTTTAAAATTAAGTTTCGTAACGATTTTTTAAAAATTGTCTAGTTAATAACCGAAGGCAAATTACATCACGTAGTTATTTGAAAAAGCAATTTCTTTTGAATTTTTTTTATTTTCCTGAAGAAAAAAATGAGGTAGCTAAATTAAACTGAGAATTATTTATATACTATTGCATTCAAAACTATTTTTTTTTTCTATTTTTCATAAAAAATTAAAAGAAAAATTTAAAATAAAAAAAATTTTTGAGCGCTTTTTTTTGGGCGCCCATACCGGTAAAACGGTACTAAAACACGTCTGGGTTCTTCACTGAATATAGGAGTTATAAGTTATTTTTTAAGTTATAGTTTTTTTATAAGTTATAAGGTTTTTATAAAAAATTTAAAAATGAGCTCAATTTGAGCTCAATCTTTGCAATTTTTCAAATGTATTAACTAAAAGAAAATGTAAGATAAAGATGGCTAAATTTCAATATCTTTATTTTATTATTTTTAATGAATCTCTTAATAAATACTCTTATTTTCTACATTAAATATAAATAAAATAAAATTTTTAAATTGAATTAAATATTTAAATTATCTATTTTTATATTTATAATTTATTTTATTATCCAAATTTTACTATAAAAGTGTAAAATTCAATAAAGTTGATTAAATTTATAGTATTTTTAAAATTGAATTAGATTTTTACATTGAATTTTGAACCTTTATTTATTTAGTTGAAGTATCCCAGGTTATTCAGTTTGGAAGATCTTCTAAACGCGAAGCAGGTTCTGCTCAAGTAGGGCAGTACGGAAACGGATTGAAATCGTAAGTTAATTGTTTAATACTCTCATAAAAAGGTCGTTTTAAAAAGATTTACTAAAATGTTGTTTTGGTTTTACTTAAAAATGTAATGATACATTTCAAAAATCATTTAAAATTTTTAGGGGAAAGATCTTGTTTTGATCAACAATTTTTTATTCATATAAAAATATTTTGCTGTTTGATTGTTGTTGTTGTTGTATTTGTGTTAACCATTGGTTATTGTTATAGGGTTAAAATACATAACTATTTAGTTGAAGTTTTGGAACTTTTTTTTTTTTTTAAGAGTTTGTAATTTTAAAATTGATCAGTGCTCTATCATCAGTAAGGCTGTTAATGGGTACCTGTGCACTCTCTCATTGTTTTACTGGTCGGAAAGAAATATTAAAAGATGGATAACAATCATTTAATATTGCATTTAAATTTAAAAATCTATTTCATTCTTTTTTTTAAGTTTAAAATCATTAGTAGTAAAATAAAAATTTCAAAAACTTGGTGAAAGAAGATATTGAAGATTTTGTTTGGAAATGTTTGGAAAAATTTGAGTTTCTGATTCGAAAAACCTACTTATTACTTCTATATTATGTACAAGCTTTCCAGTACGTAAAGCAGAACTCCTTCAACTCTTTGTTTCTTAGTCAAAACTCTTTCAAAACCTGAAAGGTGGAAGATTTATTTTATTTATATAAAGCTCATTTAAAGAAATACAAATTTGTTTTTAAAATGTTTTCAGTTTCTTCTTAAAAAGATATACATTTTGTTTGGAAAAAAAAAGCTTCAAAAATATTTTTTTTTAAACTTTAAATTTTGTTCATAAAAACTAAAATGTTATAAGGAAAAAGCGTGTATCAATTTGTAACAAATAAGTGTTTTGTAACAAGTTGTTCTTATTTTTTCTTTATACTTTATTTTAAAATAACTGCAATAAAAAATATTTAAAATCTAGATATGGGTGATATAATTTTTTCTAAATATGATATTGAATTAATCTAGATTTTTTTTTTTATGGTTACCCATGTACCCGCCTGTTCTTTTGACTGGTATCTGGTTAAGCATTTTTATGATTTTCAACTGCCCTAATCATCAGTAGTATTCATTATAAAGAAACTTAATGTTAAACTTAATGAAAAAAACAATTTTAAATTTGCATAACAAAATCATTTGCTTTATTAAGGCAAATCCATTTTTTTAATCCATTATTTGTTTAATTAATTATAGAATAAAAAAATTACTTTTCTAATCACAATTTTAATTTATATAATAATTTACAAGAAAAGTAGTTTCTACATAATTTGTCTTGATACTTAAAAATGTCTTTCTCACATTGATCTTGTATTTTGATTTTGTATCGAACATAGTACTCCTACAAGGAGTACTATGTTCTACATGATATCATTTTAACATTTGACACAACTTTTAACACTAGTTGGCCTTATAGCCATTCTGTTGTTTTCAAATAAATAAATCACTTTAAAGTAAAGTAGTTCATTCTGAAAAAATGGCTTTTTTTAGAGAAAAAAAATTACTGTGTGCACCTTTTCCGCATACCCAGAGCTTAAATGTGATTTATAATTAGGTTCGTTTTTTTCCTAGACGCATATCATTGATAGCTCAATGGTTTAGTGCGCTGTCATCAGAGTCATTTTGGGGTCTTAAGACATTTCCTTAGCTTACCTTTCTCATTTTATAGATTTATTATACATGATTGTTCCATATAATGCCTGCAAATTATCATGTGATATAGACGTTTACACTTACAGACATTAGTATGTAATGCTAAACAAATGGCAGAAATAAGAAAATTTTAGATCATTAAAAACGATAGTCTACAAAATGCTTATCTAAATGTTGAGCTAAAAATGTTTTGCGCAGTGATGTCATTTTGTGGCACAAAAAAAAATAATACAAGCGATCCTGTATCCTATAAAACATTATATAAGTGTATTTTTTACATTTGCACATAACATGTGTTTATATATAATACTTTATTTCTATGCAATATAGCTGTACTTATTTAGATAACCCGCTTAAAAATAGTTGAATAATTGCAATTGGTAAAAGATCTTTTAAAATGGTTTGCTTTTCAATTATATCCATAAATTCGATTGATCAGTGGTTTAATACGCTGTGCACATTAGTTGTTTAATACACTGTGCACATTGGTGCAGTTTTAAGTGAGTTTAAATCCATTTCTTAACACAATATATTTTGAATTTTTTCAAACTGACTATAAATATTCATAGAAAAAAAATAAGTATAGCAAAATAGACTTTTAATTGCTAAAATAATTTTTTTTCTAGCTATGGACTTTTCTTTTTTTTTTGCTTTCACAGACCTTCTAGAGTAGCAGGACTGTCTTATTAAATTTTTTCTTTATTAAGTTTCAGACAATTTTTTTTTTCAGACCATCTGCAGCTTATTAGGAATAGTTACGTGAGTACATCAATATCTCAACCATGACACATACGCTACAAATTTGATGTTTTTAGAATTTTTAGCTTTTTTGAAAATTTTTTTGTTTGTTAAAGTGTATAATATCGTTACATATCTATAAATATGTTTGTTAATATGTATAAAATGTATAAATATGTTTTTATATAATCTCTATAAATCTTTAAAAGTATTTTGTATTTTAAAATAATTTAAAACAATTAAAAAAAAAGTTGTCTGTGCTAGGACTTGAACTATGGCTCTTTTATTCAGCTATTACCTTGCAATGGCTGGCAAGAGTTCTGTGTCAAACATGCTCAAATGGACACTACTAATATATTAAGTTAGGCAATAATATGTAACAATATGTAATATTATGCTACTTTTTTGGTTCTTATTGAAGTTGATTAGGTTTGGTTTGGTTTTAATTTTTTTATAACAAGCATTCAGTATTTAGATTAAAAATTTGTAAAGTAGAAAAATATTCTAAAAATAATAGATAGAAGATTTATTCTTGCACCTGTCTCTATTTATTTCCACATAAAAAGAAAAATCCAATTATATGTATCTTTATGGTCTACCACTTTTTCTGGTTTGACTTTTTCTGGTTTGATGTTTTCTTTGCTCTGCCTTTTGATCCAGTCATCAGGAGATAGACAAGGAATATATTCAAACAAAGAACTTGACCCACATTTTTCTCCTTTTTCTTTACAAAAGATGAGAAAGTATTAACACTTTTCGTATAAAATTAATAAATATGAAGTTATTAAATATATAAAAAAATTGATTAGTATGTTATTAAATAATTGTTATTCTTTTTATTTTATTTTTTCGTATAACCTCTTAAATATTTTTGTATATTAGAGGAACAATGAGGATAGGAAAAGACATGATGCTGTTCACTAAAAAGTAAGTGTTGTTGTTGATATGACACTCTAGTAAAACTGTAACTCTTAATATTAGTTGTTTTAGCAATTATTTTTCTTAAATAGTTTTTTCTCCCTGTAATTTTTCTATAAAAAAAATTTTTTCTTCAACTCAAAATCTGATTATTCTAGTATCCCAGCATTGTTTTCTGTCTATATTGCGTTTTAAATCAATTTAAGGATCTTTTAATGTGCCATTGGAAATTATATAAGTAATTCTTATGCTTTTTATTTTGGTTTTGAAGTTGACTGACTAGATTCCCAATTAGTCAACCTCAATATTATTCTAAAAAAACTAGTCATAGCTGGGTTAATCCAACAAATAGTTGCGTTATTTAAAAAATTTATTTTATTGTCTTTTCGTATAATAAAACAATTGGAAGAATTGTTTATATTGATTTTGTTTAAAACATCATAATTCTTCAAAATAGTTTTTCCTTCTTTAAGTGATCTTTTATTATAGGTTTGGTTTTTTTATAATTAAAATTAAAATATTTAAAAATAAAATTTTATTTCGATTTGTCAGCGTATTTTTTGAACCAATAAAATTAGTTTGTTAATTAATTTGAATCTAATCCATTTGTAAAGACACAATTGCCTAATATCATTTTTTTGCAATTAATGTAAAAATGTATGTTTTAATTTTTCAAAAAACAAAGAATAATGAAAGAAACTATTGGTCCCCCATGCTAAAGCCTCATTTGATGAGGCACCACTCCTTTGCGGCAACAGGCTATAAGATAGTCAATGTATGTATTAAAGCCCCTTCAACTTCCTGTTTTTGTATGAATTCATCTGTGTGTGTCTAATGCTGCATTTATATATATAATTATATATATATATATATATATATATATATATATATATATATATATATATATATATATATATATATATTATACTTAATGTAAATTATGTTAGTGTATTCTGCAATTATAGTGCTAAATATTCTTAACGAACAAAGCAATAATAAGTTAGTAAAAGCTTAATAAACCAACAGAAGGAGAAACAACAAAAGAAAAAGTTACATAATTGTTTTTCCTTAACTGAAGCTCGTTATACTAAATTGTTGAAAGCAATTTGTTGTAATTTGTGTTATTTTGGGTTACATGTCTTGTTGTATATGCATGTATATGATCACTGCCTCAACTTGGTTCTAAAATTCTGTTTGCCAAAGAAAATTTTGTTCAGTTTTTTCTATAGTCGAAATATTTATATAGTTATTTTTTTTTTGATTCTGTTTTTTATTAATATTATTTGTTAATAAAAAATAGAATTAAAAAAAAATTTAATAATATTATATATAATTTTTTTTGTGAATTTTATTTTTAGAGACAAAACTATGAGTTGTTTGTTTTTATCTCGAACATTTCATGAAATTGAAGACATTCATGAGGTTTTATACTTATTTATGTGTATTAATATTTAACAACTTTTGATAAATTAAATAACGTACCCAAAAATTTAAAAGCTTGTATCATCAATATTTTAGGATGAGAGGGCACATTTTTGTTGCCATTTTTTTGAATTTTTTAAAGCAACAGTACTCAAAAATAATCATTTAAAGTTTTCACAACAATTAAAGATTAAAAATTAAAAACAAAAAACTAGTACACCTGTGTGTTGTCTCTTCTAGAAAGTTAAACTTTAATGCTCTGAAAAACCATATGATTAAATCAGAATAAATTGTACATGTCTAAAAAAATCTTTATTAACATATTTTTAAAGTTTTTTATTAATTTGATTACTAAAAAATGTTTAGGTTATTGTACCGATGCCTTCTTGGAATGTTGATACAAAAGAACCTTATATAGCAGATGGACACAGCATTGAAAGAGTAATACTTTTGACTTATATTATTTTGATTCTTAATATATATACATATTGTTTTAGGTTTTTTTTTAGTTTAGTTTTTGCTGCATATAATTAATTTTTTTAATTTTGAATATGAGTATGCAGAGCAAGTCTTTGTATCTATCATGTTCATAAAGTGATTTTTTTTTAGTTCAATCTGTTTGTTTATTTTATTTTCATTTTTATTTTTTCTCTTGAAAAAAACATTAAAATTTAGTTTTTTTAGCATGTCTTTGCTTTTTTTAGCATGAAGTTGAGATGAGCATTATTATGAAATATTCACCGTTTACATCTGTTGATGAAATTATGAAGGAATTTGATAAAATACCAGTTAAAGGTAATTGTGTGTGTGTGTCTATATATATATATATATATATATATATATATATATATATATATATATATATATATATATATATATATATATATATATATATATTATATATATATATATATATATATATATATATATATATAATAGATAAGAATTTTTAAATGAAATAAATCAAATCTAAAATCAACATTTTTTAATGCAGAAAATATATTTTTATTACAGGAATCTTTATATTTAATAGATTAAACTTGATAAAAGTAAGACCGCATATATAATACCAAAATAATTTAAATTCAACATTTTTTATTACAGGAACTAGTGTTATGATTTATAATTTAAAACTTATGGACAATAATATGCCTGAGCTTGATATCAAAAAGGATGAAAAGGATATCATTATGGCAGACCCACATAGTGGGGAGGTTTATGACATTGATGAAAAGTATATGTTTGCATTTTAAAGAATTTTTATAATAAAACAATATAGAAATCATTTTTATTCAATAAAAATATTGTTTTTATTATTTCTACTTGAATAAATTTATCATGTTTTTATATAATATTTTGGATTGTAAATATTTTCAGCATTTTACCTGAAAAACTTTCATTTCGCGCATACTTATCCATAATTTATTGTGAACCAAGAATGAAGATTTTTATTCAGGTAGTTTTTTTCTTTTTGTCAAATAAAAATAGAATGAACAATTTAATTAATGCTGTTGTATTTAACTTAAAATTAATTTTAAAATATTTTTCTTTTCAAAAATAAAAAACTTTGAAAAATTTTAATTCTTGTTTATAAAACTTAATTGATAGGGAGAAAAAGTAAGAACTAAAAAGTTAGTGCACACATTGTATAAGCCAAGGTATTAATTTCAGAAAAGTTTCAATGTTTGTTTAAAAAAGATTTGTACATATTTTTGTTTGTTTTTGTAATATTTTAAATTATCTATCAGGGCTCAAACTAAATCAAAAAACTCTTTTTCCATCTTTTCCCAATTCCCTCCTCCTCTCTTTTTCCATCTCTTCCCAATTCCCTCCTCCCCTCTTTTTCCATCTCTTCCCAATTCCCTCCTCCCCTCTTTTTCCATCTTTTCCCAATTCCCTCCTCCCCTCTTTTTCCATCTCTTTCCAATTCCCTCCTCCCCTCTTTGTTGTCGCTTTTTCCATCTCTTCCCAATTCCCTCCTCCCCTCTTTGTTGTCGCTTTGTGGTCTTTTTTGTATTAGTTCGTAAATGTTATTTTTTTTTACTTATCTCTAATATTTAAGTATTATTTTATAATATTCTTGTTTGGCGGAGTTTAAAATAGTTACTGTTATAATTTACAGCTTTAAAGTTTCAGTTACAGTGTAATCACTCACATTTAATACTACTACAGTGTTACTTTTTTTTTATTAATTTTTTTTTTTCATTCAAATGGTTTTCAAGTTTCAAATTGTTTTGCAAAAACATAAAGATAGAGAGAAAAAAATTGGTTAAATAAGTCAAATTATATAAGTTATAAGTATATGCTTAAATTATTTGAAAAAAATTTTTTTGAACAGAAATAGAATAATTAATTTTTTTTATTTAAATTTTTTATATTTTTATTTTTGATTTAATGTTTGCGATAATCACTAATTTAATGTTTGCAATTCAATGTTTCTACTTTTGAAACTATTTAAAAAAAAATAAAAATGATGTCTTTACAAACAATATTTAACTATTAAAAATGTTTACGATTTAAATTAAACTTTCCTCCTCACTTGCACTAATTCACATTTAAATAAGAGAATTTTAGAAGATGGTAATTCTCTTGTTCAAATAGATTTCTATATTTAAAAAATTCCTAAAAACAACTTGCCTATTTATAGAAAGTATTTTATCTTAATATTGGTTTAAATATAATGAAAATTTACTGTAATGTATTTTACTCATTAATTAAACCAAACTAAATTTTACTTTATATAGAAGTAGGATATTATTGGCTTCCACACATTTAAAGTAATTTAAATTCAAAAGTACTTTATGTTAATAAAAATTTCTGCGCATGAGAGCAAGTTGTCACACTTTTATGTAAAATAAAAATATGCATGACAAACTTTATGACTTCTAATAACGAAATTTACACCTTTAAAACATTCTATACTTTTAAGAAATGCTAAAAAAAAAATACTAAATTAGAAAAGAAATTAGAAAAAATTAAAAAAAAAAAAAAAGCGTTAAGGCATAAAAACCAAATGAAAAATCTCAAAAAAAATATTTGAGCCCATTGAGCTGTCTATATATATAAAATGGATTTAGTTTTAATGCTATATAAAAATGCATTAAAATGTAAAGTATAAGTTAAATAATAAAAGCTAAATGTATAATTTTTTTAAATATAGAACATATATTTATACATCATTTTTTAATATAGAACATATATTTATACATTATTTTTTAATATAGAACATATATTTATACATCAAATCGGTTTAAAAAAAGAAGTGAAATTGAAGCTGAAAATGCAGAATCAGCAGCTAAAATAGGTAAATTATTTACACCTATATAACCTCATTATGTTAAAACAGAATAATATAAATTTTTACTGCATAGTTTTTCATAAATATCTTGAAAATAGATTCAAAAACTATAATTCTTAAAACAGATATTGTTTAAAGAGCATTATAAAATCAAATATATATATATATATATATATATATATATATATATATATATATATATATATATATATATATATATATATATATATATATATATAATAGTTAGAAATATAAATAGTTATTATATATAAATTAAATTCACATTTATTCACAATTATTTACACATGTACAATCTACAGCAATTTAAAAGATATACAAATGTAACATTTGTATATTTTAAATACTAAACTGCTTCAAACCATTTTTTATAAACTTTTTCCATCTTAAATGCAGTCATACAATTGTTTAAACTGTGTCAAACTGTTTTTTATAAACTTTTTTTATCATAAATACAGTCATACAATTGTTTAACGTGTCAAACTGTTTTTTATAAACTTTTTTCATCATAAATACAGTCATACAATTGTTTAAACTATCATAAAAACTTTCATCAACCAGTGGAATAGGTAAATTCAAAAATTTTGTTTATAATAATGATACTATTGGTGGTTTTACATTGGGATGCATAGGAATTTTTGATAATGTTATGTTCCCTAATTATTGACTTATGTTTTCTAATTATTGCTTAATGATATAATTATTTTAGTTGTTGTTTTTATTGTTTCTATAATGAACTTCTGTATTATAATGATTTATAGTTTTATAAAATAAAATTTTACAGCTGAAGAAAGAGCCAAAGAGTTAACAACTCAAGCAAGGTGATTTTGTTTTCATATATAATTATGTGATATTTAATATATATATAATGACAAGGAAAAATTGTATGACAACTATAGTCCAATTTATTGTTTTTATTGTACTAGCAGTTGGAACTTATAAAACAGGTCATGTTTTATACCTTGGCCCTTTTTTTTTTTTTTAACCAATTATTTTAACACTTGCCATTTCACAATATTTTTTGAAATTAATAAAAAATTAACTAATGAACATTTTCGGAAATTGATTTACTTTTTTTAATTTCAACTTTTGGTAAAAAAAAACATTTTAAAACAGATACAAATATCTTTGGAATAGTGGAAAGGGAAATTTTGTGGTTCTCTGTCTCTGTTTTGTAAGTGAGATGCACTGAGTTTACTTCGACCTAGAATTGTCTGTGGTCAGTATTTTTTGTGGGTTTTTTTTGCAGATCTTAAATCTATGTTGTTAAAGTGAAGCCTTTGTGTAAATAATTTTGTGTTGACTGAATGGCAACCAATAATACTTGAGTGTTGGCAATTTATTTCTGACCTTATTTTTTTTAATTCCGTGGGCTGGGTTAACAGTAGTTTATAACAACAAATAAATTAAAAAATTTACAGTAGTAGTCCCCTCAATACGGTTTGAAAAAAGAACTGTTACTTATTGAAACTAGGCATGATGGAAAAAAATTGTAAACAAGAACTTATCACTTAGTTCATGTATGCTTAACTACATATATTTTTAGGTGTCAGTCTATGGATGAAAATTGCTGTTTGCTTACTTATAGAGAATTCAGCAACTTGTATAATTTTTTATTTATTTATGATCATACTCTCTTAATTAAAAGAAGACAAAAAAAGATAAAATCAATAAAAAATGTTGATGATATTATTCTAATCAATAAAAAAAATTGATGATATTATTCTAATCAAACTGCAGTATCTCTATACTAACATATTTAAAAATAAGGTTATTTTCTATACTCTTTTGATTTGATATGTTTATAGTTTTATTTTATATTACTTAATATAATGTCAAACTATATACATAATGTTTGAAGGATATTGATATTGATTTGAATTTATACTTGAATTGATGTTTAAACAACTTTTTTCTCTTTTTTTTATACATTCATAAAAACTTTAATGTTTTTTTGAAACTAAATAAAATTTTGATTCAATAATTTGTCATGGGATTCATATTGCTGCATATTATTTGTTACTTTATGTCATGTGATTTATATTGTTGCATATTATAAGTTACTTTAAAACTATTTCTTCACAGAAATAAGGTGTTTTTAAAAAGAAATCTGATTTAGAAAGTCACAAATTTATTTCTGGTTTTTTGGTGTCTATAAGCTCCAAAATGTTTTATGTTTTATGCTCTTTTAAATGAAAAATATGCTTATATTTGTTGATATACAGTGGAGAAAAAAAAGTAACATGATGATTTTAAGTAAATTAAAAATACCATCCTGCATCTGAGTGTTTATGTTTATTTATTTCTAATATTGCTATTGTTACAATGTATATAATAGATGTTTAACAATTTATTTGGTTTATGATTTTTAATTAAGGGAGGCAAATTCTAAATACAATCCTGCTACAAAAGAGGGACGGGTACGAATAGTTTCACTTTTATATATTTAAATTCTAATAAACAATTTTGTAATTTTTAAATAAATTTTAAATCTCAGTTTATTTTATCAAATAAACTTTTTTTGATTGATTTTTTGCATATTATGATGTATTATAAATCAGACTTTACAATCTTTTTAGGCAGCTATACAGCTAGCAGTTTCAAAAGCAGATCAAGCTAAGTTTGATGCTGAAGTTAAAAAACGAATTGCCGACGCAAAGCGTAAATCGTCTAAAGAATCAAAAACTCTGTCATTTACATTTGGGTTTAATATTGAAAAACGTCGATGTGATGGCATATTTATATTTAATTGCAACCGGCTCATAAAAATGTATGAGCGTGTTGGTTTGCAAACAGAAGGTGGTATGAAAGGTGCTGGTGTTGTTGGTGTTGTTGATGTACCATATCTAGTTTTAGAACCCACTCATAACAAGCAAGACTTTGCAGATCATAAAGAATATAAACATTTATTAAAATCAATGGCTGATCATTTGATGCAATATTGGAAAGATTCCAAAATTGAAAACCAAGGAATTACTAAGTTTTGGGATGATTTTGGCTATACAGGACAATGGAGAGATGACCCTTCGAATGATCCAAAGTTTAAAATGAAAAGACTTATGAGTGTTCCTTGTTTAGTACAGTGTAATAAATGTCTGAAGTGGCGAACATTATCATTCACAAGGAAAATGGTCAATTATGAAGTTCCTTCTAATTGGTGTTGCTCTGATAATCCAGATACAATATTTTCAAGGTTTTAATTTTTTTAAGTTTGTTTGTTGAGTTCGTAGGCAAAAGGTTTAAATTTGAGTTCGCATTTTATAAACCAATTTTTTTTTTTTTTTTAATTTTTTAAACTAATTTTTAACAACTAGAGTAGATAGAAAATTTATATAAGAAACACTCAAGTATCCAAACTTGTTTTTTATCAGTTAAATTAATCATGTTAAATTTAATGCGGTAGTGGTGTAGTGGTAGAGCGCTCGCTTCATAAACGAGTGGTTCCGAGTTCGATCCCCACCACGTCCCTGGTAGTACCGCGCTCAACTCGTTTCTCCGCGCAGCGGCCTTGTTCGTCAAGGTTTGGTTTCGGAGTTATAGAGTTGAGAGAGGGTTATAGCCACAAATAAGTAGCCTCCTCGTCTGTAGTGGCCTTCTCGGCCTTGAGGAGGTGAATTAAAAAAAAAAAAAAAAAAAAAAAAAAATTAAATAATTTTGCTTAAACATTGTTGTCTTTAAAAAGACATGGTTGTCTTTGGACTTCTTAATTATTAAGGTTTTTAATATCTTTTTTTTTATCTTAACTAAAGGAGATTTAAAAAGTAATCTAGGTGGAAGCTTATTTGGTATATCTTATTAAACATGCATTTGCATTAAAAAAAAAAAATTATGTCAAAAATCCTTACACCATACACTGAGTATTGAGATTTTTTTATTATTTTTAATAAGTTTCAACATTTTAATTTGATACAATTTAATGTTTCTTATTTGAGAATTACCACCTGTATTATTTATGTTGTTATGAGTTTATCAACACATGTGATACTGTCATACTTATGATGAATGATATTATATAGCAACTTGATGGGGTAATTCTGATCATAAAAAAAGGCTTAAAAACATAAATTTTTATTTTTACGGTTTACAAATTTTTTTTTTTGAGAAATTTGAAATTCTTTTTTTAAATTTTTGTTTACTTGATTGTAAAGATGTTTTAAAATTTCAAAGAACTTTTAAATCTTGCTTTAAAATGTTTTTTACATTCATCAAAATCAATACTTATTTGAATGGATAGTTTCACCATGTCTTAACTTTGAATATGTCTTAAAGGGATCCCTTACTTTGATCCTTAACTTTGAATATGTCTTAAAGTGCCGAGACAAGTTGTTTTCATATTAAAGAGAATGATTTTTAGAAATGTTTGGGTTAAATTTTTTTGAGTAAAAAAAATAATAAACGTATACCAAGAAAAACTAACTTTATTGTTTTACTTAAAGCTCTCCATGCTAGCCAGTTCCTTTAAGTCTTTAAAATTTATGCTGCAATCTACAGACTTTATAATTTATTAAAGCTCATTTAATTCCAAAGAGTTTTAGTATATGACATCATTACAGAACTTCAATAAGAAATCTAAAAATTCTTTTTTTTTTTATCAAATTATAGAATATTTTTTAATTATAGATTACTAAAGAATTTGTTTAGTTAATTATTATTTTATTTATTTTATTTATAAGTTTTTTTTTCATTATAAATTGCTATAGCTATTTTTATGAGGTTCGCATTAAAAATATGAATAAAAAACAACTTGTATACAAATATTTTAGAAATTTTTATTTAATCATGCAAGAATATATTTTATGAAATTTATTCTGAAAACATTTATTGCTATTTTTATTGTTATTGTTTCATTTTATTGTTATTTTTATTGCTATTTTTAAAATTAAGCAATTATTGCTAAAGATTGCTAAAAAGTGTAGCATTATCGCATCAGTTTTTTGGAATCGTGTAACAAAAGCTTTTATTATAAATTTTGGTTTTGAATTGTAATGTTAAGAAAATAAGAAGTTTTAAGGTAAAATATTTGCAAAATACAACATAATTTGGGAAATATAAAATGCTAGCTGAGATCGGGCCCACAAAAATATAGGTCTATTCCAAGCCAAACTTTTTTATACTTCTTCCTTATATATCCTAGCTTTCCGGGTCCGTTAAATACGAGTCTTTACCAAACCTACAATTTCCATACATACCTGTTCCACACTGATTATTTCTATACCCTTTTCCTTATTTACTTCAATACTTTTTATCAAAATAATTTTGTTATGAAAAATATCTTTAAGAGCAAAAAAACTAATATGCCCACCTTTTCCGCATATGTAGAGCATATAAGAGACTTATAATTAGGTTTGTTTTTTTGCTAAATGCATTTCATTAATAGCTCAGTGGTTAAGTGTGCTGTCGTCAGTGTTGTTTTGGAGGGTTTATGACCTCTTTGCGTAATAAATTTAGAAATTTTTATAATCTTGCTTATATATTTATAGCAAAAAATTAATAATATAGCAAAAAAGATTTCTAAAATTTAAAATAAAGTTTTCAAGTTTTCTTATTTTATAGATATATAGATATACGTGATTATTCCATAAAATGCCTGCAAACTCAACATAAAGACGTTTACGCTTACATAAATTTGTACGTAACGCTATACAAATGAAATTAAGAAGATCTAAGAGCACTAAACCAAAGTCATAAAAAAAATAATTAATTCTTATGCTTAAGAACTAAAAGAATAATTTTATCTAAAAGTTAAGCCAAAATGATTTTGGGATTTGACGTCAGTTTGTGGCAAAGTAAACCTTTATGTGTCAAATTTCTTTTGCATTTATCTTACATTTTTTTATTAATTTTAATCTTGTTGCATACAAATGCATAAAAATATATAAATTTGGTACAGGTATATCATTTCGCTGATAAGAGATTGTATTTATTACAATAGTAATTAATAAATAGTTTTTGTCTTTATTATAATATATCCCATAAAAATATATTCCATATATCTTTAATAGAAGCTTTTTTTAAAAAATTTGATTAAAACATTTTTTCAAGTTTGTTTTTCTAGTTTTTTGTCACAAATGCAAAAAAATTGTATCTTCACCTGTTTACAAAAAAGCCTTGACTGTCATTTTTAATGGTCTAAGAATCAGATGACATAATTTTAGCAATCAGAAATATCAAGAGAGTGGCAAATCTTAAATTGAAGTTTTAAATTTTCCACTTAGATGAGAAAATATGTTTTGTGCTTTTTCTATTTTGTCAATTTTTTAAAATATAACAACATACCTACAAAAAATCAAAACATAACAGCTTGAGCAAAAAAGACTTGTAATTATTGGAAAAGTTTACTTATATTACATACGATCCTGAATAAAACGTTACATAAGTGGATTTTTTACATTTTATAAATAATATATATAAACAAATAACATATATATATATATATATATATATATATATATATATATATATATATATATATATATATATATATATTTATACATATATATATATATATATATATATATATATATATGTATATATATATATATAGGCCTCGGCGGGAAGCGAGAGCTTTTGCTCTCTTTTGCCCACATTCCCCTAAAATGGTTTATGGGAGCAATTTACGGCTCGCTAAAGTGTATTTTTTTCTCTCAAAAGTTTAATTATCATTGTAACTAAAATAAAAAATGCAGTCATTTTAATAATTATCTTTAACAATTCTTATAAATCCCTGCATTCTATTACAATAAGAAAATATACAACTTTTTTTATAAGCAATAAAAACAATGCTCATTTAAAGAATTTAGAGAAGCAGCTGGCATAGCTCGCCATGTTCGTTTTAGGAGAGTTTTTCACTGCTCTTGCACTCATTTCTTCCTGCTGAGGCCTATATATAACCATCCCAATATAAACAATATATAACAATATATAAAACTTCAAAAGTATTCAAAAATTAAAATAAAAAGTCATTTGTGGAAGGAATCGAACCATGGCTTACTTGTTCAGAAGCTCAGCGCGCTATCCACTTGGCCACACTTGTACATTGTTAAGCGAAGATTTTTAAAACGAATAATGATTTTTTTAACGGAAAAAAATGTCATAGATCAAAATTAAGGAGAGCTTGATGCAATACAATTTTCAAGTGAAAATCAAACTGTAAAACTTGATAAATGTTTCAGTATGTTTTAACATATTTTTACTTAATTTAAAGTTTACGTGCGTTAGATAATTGCATACACGTTAGTTCATGTTTTCTTATAAAATAAAGTGCTGCAACTTTTTTTCGCCACTACATCAGTTGCAATGGCTGTTAAGGGTTCCGTGTCAAACAGGCTTGAAAGGACACTATTAAGTTCAGTATTATTAATTAGATAATGTTTTTTAACGCACACTGCAATACATTTACAATTTTATTCGTCATCTGTCTTAAATTATTGCCATAAAACATTAATTATTGCTTTTTTTATTAATTATTTAATAAAAAAGCTGTCTGTAAATTTGTTAAGTGTTAGTCTATAAAGATTTTTTAACTAAAAATTAAAGAATTCGGCAAATATCTCTAGTAAATGATGTTGTTTACCAAAAATTATTTTTAAATTAAGTATTTAAGAATTTGTAATTTCATTTCGATATAAGAATTTCGATAGGAGAAGTCGTCATATCAATAAATGACTTAAACTAGAAAAAAGGTCACATTGTTTACATAAAAAGAAAAAAGATTCAGAATATATTACAAGGTGATCAACACCTTTTTTATATATATTTATATATAAAAAATTAATGATTATATTTATTATATATATGATTATATTTATTATATTTATGATTATATTTATTATTATATTTATTATATTTATGATTATATTTATTAACTTATGATTATATTTATTATATTTATGATTATATTTATTATATTTATGATTATATTTATTAACTTATGATTATATTTATTATATTTATGATTATATTTATTTTATTTATGATTATATTTATTATATTTATGATTATATTTATTATATTTATGATTATATTTATTATATTTATGATTATATTTATTATATTTATGATTATATTTATTATATTTATGATTATATTTATTATATTTATGATTATATTTATTATATTTAAGAATGTATCATAAAAATCTTAATTCCCGAGCTATAAAAAAAACGTTCTTTTGTTTATCTTATTGCATAATTG